TTGTTAAATCTGGTGTTTTCTTCTTTTGTTCTTTATTTCCTACAAGTTTTCTTTTATTTGTTATGATTTCTTACTTGCCTACTTTTGACACAAGATCCGGAAGGGCACGGGTTGTGGTGTGTTTAACACCAACAACTGGTATCAGAGCTTCCTTCGGCAAAGGTTTGTGTTTTGAAAGAGATGGCAGAAGAAAGAAAATCAAAGATCGAGAAGTTTAACGAGTCAGACTTCGCCTACTGGAAGTCACAGATGGAGGACTATTTGTACCAGAATGATCTTTACCGTCCGTTGATGGGAAAAGCTAAAGGAAAGAAGAAAGAGGAATCAGACGAGGACTAGGAAATACTGGATCGGAAGGCTCTATATAAGATTCGGTTGTCGCTCGCCAAATTAGTCACCAATAATATTTTGAAGGAGAAGACGACGGTGAGGCTTATGGAAGCGCTCGCGAAAATATACGAGCAACCGTCAGCCACAAATAAGGTGCATCTCTTCAAGACACTTTTCAACCTCAAGATGGTAGAAAGATACACCTTCACGTTGCATCTCAGTGAGTTCAACACGATCGTTGATCAACTTATCTTCATCGACATTACGTTCGATAACTAAGTGTAGACCCTATTAATCCTATCACAGTTACCGAATAGTTGAGCAGATTGCGTGACCGCAATTAGCAACTTGAGGTTATCAGTATGATTCTATCCGAGGAGGTTAGAAGAAAATCGTCTGAATCAGAAGGTTCAGGTTAAGTCCTAAATATCGAGCAGAGAGGCCGAAGCCAGAAGAAGGATAACCAGAATAGGAATCGATCGAAGTCAAAGAAGAAGAGGTCAAACTCGAATGTGAGACCTATCAAAGGGAAGTGTTGGAACTGCAGTCAGGACGATCATATGTCTTTAGTTTGTAAAGCGCCAAAGAAAGATGCGAATGAGTAGGAGGCTCAAATCGTGCAAGATGCATTGACCATTGCTATGGACAGCGATTCTGATTCATGGGTTATTAATTTAGGAGCCTCTTTTCACGCCACTGCAATATTGTTGGAAAAGACAACGTGCAGATTCAGATGAAGGGCTCTAAGTAGAATCTGAAGAATGTCAGACATGTACCAAAGTTGAAGAGGAATCCTATTTCAGTTGGCTAGCTTGGAGCAGAAGGTTATGTTTCAACATTCACAGGGGATTCGTGAAAAATATCTAATGGTACTCTGGTGGTTATCTGTGGTAACAAAATCGGAACTTTCTACCTTAGTTCACATGCGAGTGACATCCTCGTAGTTGCAACTGGCAAAGAAAGTGCAGATCTGTGGCACAATAGGTTAGGACACATGAGCGAGAAGGATATGAAGATTCTACACTCTCAAGGAAAGCTATCCGGCATTGATTTAGTTGAAGTTTGTGTTTGCGATGATTGCATCTACGAAAAGCAAAAGAGGGTCAGCTTTCAGTAAAGTGGTAGACCACCTAAAGCTCAGAAGCTAGAGCTTGTCCATACAGATATCTAGGGTCCAGCTAGCGTATCTTCTCTTGACGGTTCGACGTACTATGTCACATTTATCGATGATCACTCGAGGAAGGTGTGAGTATACTTCATGAAGCACAAGTCAGAGGTGTTCGGGATCTTCAAGAAGTGGAAAGTCATGGCAGAGAACGAGACAGATCTGAAAGTGAAGTGTCTGAGATCGGACAATGGTGGAGAATACGAGCTAGAGGAGTTCAAGAAGTTTTGTGGCCTAAACGGAATTTGTTTAGAGAGGACTACTCTAGTGACACCGTAACAGAATGGCGTTGCAGAGAGTATGAACAAGACGTTAACAGAGCATGCGAGGAGCATGCATTTATATGCAGGTCTATCTAAAATATTTTAGACAGACGCGGTGCATACAACAGCTTATCTGATTAATCATAGGTCATTCGTTCCATTGGATTTTGGGATTTCAGAAGAGGTTTGGAGTGGCAAGAAGGTTAATCTCTCACATTTACGATTTGGTTGTGTGGCATATGTTCATATCAGTGGTCATGTCAGGGACAAGCTAGAAGCTAAGTCACAGAAATGTACATTCATTGGATACACCATTGATGAATTCAGATATCGTCTTTGGGATGAGAAGAACAGGAAAATTATCAGGAGCAGAGATGTGATATTCAATAAAGAAATTATGTACAAGGACAGGGACAATGCCAAAGATAGCCAAAGCAATGGGAGAAGCACTAATGATGTAGGTAGATCCGAGTATATAAATTTGAAGGAACTTCCAGATGGGGGAGACGGTGTCAGTTCTGACCGAAGAACGGAGGAGACTCCAGGTGTAGAGACTACTACCCTGGGCGTGGAGCTTAGGAGATTACCAGAGTACCCAAGCCGAACCTCAAATATCTTTCATCACTTCATTACTTGCTTCTGACAGATAGCGAAGAACCGGAGTGCTATGAGGAGGCTATGTAAGGTAGTGAATCTCAACAGTGAGAGCAAGTAATATAAGAAGAGATGGATTCTCTATACTCGAACGAGACATGGGAGTTAGCCCAACTACCTGCACAGAAGAAAGCCTTACATAACAAATGGGTCTACCGAGTCAAGCAGGAGAGTGATGGAAGCAAGAGGTACAAAGCCAGATTAGTTATGAAAGGGTTCCAACAGCATGAAGGAGTGAACTATACGAAGATATTTTCCCCTGTTATGAAGGTTACAACCATCAGAGTGGTGTTGAGTTTAATAGCTGGTGAAAATCTCTACCTTGAGCAGTTGGATATAAAGATTTCATTTCTCCATGGAGACTTGGATGAAGAAATCTACATGAAGTAACATGTTGGCTTTATAGAAGAAGGAAAGGAAGAGATGGTGTGTAGGCTCAAGAAGAGCTTGTACGGTTTGAAACAGGCTCCGAGACAATGGTACAAGAAGCTCGATAACTTCATGCAGAGCAATAGCTTGAAAGATGCATTTTAGATCATTGTTGCTACTTCAAGAGGTTCGAGTCCAGCTATATCATGTTATTATTATATGTTGATGACATGTTAGTTGCAGGATCGTGTTTAGAGGAGATAAACAAATTAAAAAAACAGTTAGCGTAGGAGTTTACTATGAAGGATCTGAGTGCAGCAAAGCAAATTTTTGGGATGCGAATCAGTCGAGATGAAGCTAAAGGGACGTTGAAGTTGAGTCAGGTTGAATACATCGAGCAGGTACTTTAGAGATTCAACATGGAGAATGCCAAGTCCGTCGGCATAACCCTTAGAAGTCAATTCAAGTTATCTAAGAAGCAATCGCCCAAGACAAATGCAGAGAAGGAGCACATGTACAGAGAAGGAGCACATGAGTAGAGTGTCATATTCATTAGTCATTGGTAGTCTTATGTACGTGATGGTTTGCACGAGACCGGATATCGCCAATGCAATGGGAGTTGTGAGCAAGTTTGCAAGCAATCCAGGGAAATAGTATTGGGAGGTCGTGAAGTGGATATTACGATACTTGAGAGGGACTACGGATATGTCATTGTGTTTCAGGAGGAAGAAATTGGTACTGTAAGGATACATGAATGCATATTTTGCCGGTGATCATGATACAAAGCGAAGTACCACGGGGTATGTTTATACCTTAGCGTCGACAGCAGTGAGCTGTGTCTCACGTTTGCAGAAGATAGTAACAATATCCAAGACTGAGGTAGAGTATGTCGCAATGACTGAAGCTAGTAAGGAGATGATTTGTTTGACCGGGTGCCTGGAAGAGATGGGTTTGAAGAAGGGGAACGGTGTTCTTTATTGTGATAGCTAGAGTTCTATACACCTTGCCAAGAATCCAATATATCATGCCAAAACAAAATACATCAACGTACGTTACCACTTCATACGCTCGCTGATAGAGGACGGCAAGTTACAATTGGAGAAGATTTTGGGGAGTCAAAATCATGTGGACATATTGACGAAAGCAGTGACCATCGACAAACTGGAGTTGTGCACAACTTCAGTTGTCCTTCACGCGTAGGAGACGAAGGCGAAGCCATACTAAGAGGATAGGCGGGATCGTCGAGAAGATATTGGTTAAAGAATGGATTTTTTCCGGGTAGGAGAAGATGTTTTCGAAGATGGCGGGAGTTCGGGAGAGCTCGTTGATGGTGGTTTGGTCTCCAAGTGGGAGATTGTTGGTTTCGGGAGTGGAAAACTAAACCTGGAATCGAAAAACATAAACAGCACAAAAATCCCCTTATCGGTCGACCGACACAAGCTCAGCAGTCGACCGATGTAAAGCCAAGAAATATTACAGGAGTTTCGAGACAGTCGACCGATGGATATGCCCCGGTCAACCGAAAACGCGCACGAGAACCCTGTAGAAAACAAAGTTCTGGTCAGTCAACCGAACCATACTATCGGTCGACCGATGGCGATCAACTGATCGACCGATGCGATGCTATCGATCGACCGAAGTCGGGTCTGATAGTTTCCTTATTCGTGTTGGATTCTGTTTTTAGGCTGAATATATATATGTTTTCTAAAATGTTTTTAGGGTGAGAGGATTTTGACGGCACTTTGAGATCAGAGATCTTAGAGAGAGTGTCCTATTGCGAACATTGTAATCTTCTTCAATTAATCAAAGAACTTCTGGTTTGGCTCCCGAGGACGTAGGCACGTTTGTCGAACCTCGTTAAATCTGGTGTTTTCTTCTTTTGTTCTTTATTTCCTGTAAGTTTTCTTTTATTTGTTGTGATTTCTTGATTGCCTACTTTTGACACAAGATCCAGAAGGGCACTAGTTGTCGTGTGTTCAACCCCAACATACATCACATCTAATCAACTAAAGTTCATTGGAGGCTAGTTTTGGCTATGAATCAAAGATTTTTCATCTTCCAACAAAAAAAGAAATAAAGAAATAAAGAAAAAAAAAATCGTCTTCCTCTTTTAAGATTTTCTTGTATACTGCACCTTCAGAAATCAGAGATGCTTTAACTCAAGTTAACCTTTCGTGCACCCTTATAAATAATTTCACAGACTTCAAATGGAACACACATAACAAAGAGGACTCAGACAATGTCCTTTTTTTAATCAATTATACGAAAGGGAAAACGAAAGGGTGAAAAACCCTGTTGGAAGTCTGAAATTGTCTTATTTATCATCTGCTTCAGTTAAACAGGATTAGAGATGCAGTATATCAACTAAAAAAACAAAAGAAGAAGAAGAAAAAAACAGAAAAAGAAAAAGAAAACAATTTGTATCATGAACGAAACCCCAGTATTTAAACTTCCAGTCAAATTACTGGCGGTTATATTCTCTTACCTTCTTCCCCCTTCTATGTACGTCGTCAAATTGTTGTTTTTGTTTCTATGTTTTATGTCGATTAGTGGCAATCCGTCTTCAGTAAAATATAAATGAAATATATCCAGTAGAATGACTTCGAGTTCTTTCAAAGAGACGGTTACTTCCCCTTGAATAGACATTACCCTGCGAATTTGAAAAACAAATAATAACTACACATTAGAGAGTTTGATGCTGAGGATTAAAAGACAAATTTCGAATTCAAAGTTGCATTTGCAGACTTCAACTTACAATTGAGAAGATAAACTGAATCCCTAACTCTCTGTAGGTAGTGATATGCTTGTGAGGATGATCCCACATCACAAAATATCTAAATTAATGCTCTGATCATCTTGGGGAGATCCAGATAAATATGTGCCTAAGGCAGAATACATAGAAGTGCTGCTCTTAAATAGTAGCTGAAACGATTTCAGACAATTTTTCCAGTTGAATTTTCCTTTCCAAAAAAATAAAAGAAATATTTGTTGAAAAAACTCCACTCTATTTGAATAGAATGGACTATAAGGGGAGGATACAGTCAACAAATTCCTTTATCTATAAAATCAATGTTTCTGAAGGTACTGGGATGATATCCAAAAGAAACATTTGTTCCTCAGTTAGGGGTTGGCAAATAGTTGGAACTAAACTTCTCAAGCATAAAAGCAAAAGATTTCCCCTTAGGGCCCAATGACTAAGAACACAAATAGGCACCCTGCATTTATTCTTTGTAATCAGTTTTTAGTAGGTGAACTACCTCCACTTTGGTTACGATATGCAGAATTATTTCAGCAACACTTGGTCAAATTATTGAACCTGAGATCTCAAGTGCCAAGTATAAAACGTTCATGATTAGGAGCTCCTCCTTAAGCAGTTTGCTTGTTGGTTTTTATACTTCAAGCATTAATTATGTAAATAAAAACCAGCCCATGACTGTGAGCTTATAACCTGATTATTTTCTGGTTTGTATACTTCAAAGCATTAATTAAAGAAAACATACACGAAACAATCATGTTCAGATCATTGGTAGGAGTTAGACAATCCCTCTAAGATATAAAAGGACTAATCTTAAGCTTGTTAACAGGGAAAATTCTATGTGAATCAGTGAATGTCAGAATGAGGAAATTAACTTAAATATCTATATGTAGGACAAATACTTTAATTCAAATATCTAGATCAAGGAAGATGATATGAAAGTTATCCTAAACAGAAAGCTTACATGACATACGTAAATAAAGTTATATGTTCACAAATTGCTTAATATGTTCGCAAATTTTTCTAGATTTATCTTTCCTCCCGCAACTTGCTAAATGTAAATCATTTAATACAATTAAAATTTTAATTCCCACAAGCTAAAAATGGACTCATAACAATGGCATGATAAATTCCAAATATAGAAAGAGAACATTTTTGAACTGCAATAACGCACCTCAATGATGCACAATTTTGAACTGCAATAACGCACCTCAATGAAACCCAAGTAGGTCCTTTTAAACAATAACTAATTTTTATTTGTTTAACACCAAAATCGCAATCATAATGTTTAAAGTTCTAGCAACCATCATGTAGGCATTTTCTACCACAACTATGATGCAGAAAGCTTCAAAGGAATTCAACAAGAAGAGTATGTAAGAATCTTTTCCATTTGTATTGGCAGATTTGGACCTTAAAATTTCATTATGAATACCATGTACCTAAATCCAGTCTAGAAAGAAGATCTTTGATGAGATGAAAGTAAAAAAATTTTGAACAGAAATAATCTCAGATGTTACTCATTCAAGAAGAAAGCTTAAAGCGACACTCTAAAGACTAGTGCTGCTTCATTGCTTACCTCCATCACCTCTATGCTGAAGTTACAGTACTTTGTACCTCCTAAGCAGGAGAGATCCACGTCAGGGATATCTGCTGCTTTTATTTCAGAAATCTGCAGTTATTTTAAGTTAGAGACCGTAACAGTAAATACAATGCGTATGTATCATATGCGCATTACATATTAAACATAGAACAAATACCTCAAGTACAGTATTGTAGAAGAATGTAAACAAACAGAGCAGAAGAGCATGACTCAGAAGTGCGGAGCTGTATCAACATCTGCAGCAGTAGCATCAACATGTCCATTGTTAACGTCGTTTATATCCTCTTCAGTAAACAAACTCACATTCTTTGACTCTTTTGGCAGGTATGAAATCTTTTTAAAGATATCTCTGAGGTTGTCATGCTCTGTCATCTCTGTCAATATTCTGTCTTTAGCAACCATTTTGGAAGTATATTCTTCTTCAGCAAGTGACGAACTTTCTTCAATATTATTCAGGTCAATTTCAGGAGAGAAAACCAATTTAGACATTTTGTCCTTTGTAGCTTGTACACAACATTTATCACTCTCCCCACTTCCCAATGTGACCAATTGATAAACATAGACAAATTTGTGCTGGCCAATTCTGTATGCTCGGCTTATTGCTTGATGTTCTGTAGACGGGTTCCAAAGAACGTCAATTAGAACCACCCTTGAAGCACCAACAAGGCTTATTCCTTCAGAGCATGCTTTAGTTGACGCCAATAAGACCCTTGCTTCGCTTGACAAGTCATTGAAAGTATCTATTAGAGACTGGCGAGTCTTTGAAGTGAGCTTCCCGTGCATCTTTAACACCTCCTTTCCTTCAGTCCAATCAAATAACTTGAAAAGCTGATCTCTTATTATATCCAGTGGCTCAATAAACTGACAGAACACTAGAACCTTCTCCTTTAATGCTTCACATAATCGAATTAGTTCTATAACAAATTTGGTTTTCACCCCTTCAGAAGGATTTAATCTCACTTTCGCTAGGAGAGGAGTGTCCATTAGAGGTTTCTCATTCTCATATAAGCAATGCATCGCCAGAGAAGGGTGTATTGAAATCAATGTCTTTCTGTAGTCCTTGTTAACGAAACTACCATCCTTGGACTGTTGAATTATATCAAGAATGCTCTTCTGGTAGGGGAGAGGATTTAGGACAATTGTACACTTTCTTAAACCAGGAAGAGTGTCAAGGATTTTACCGCTGTGTACATGGACAAAATGTCTGATGACTGATTTAACGTTTTTTATACCAGATTTAAGCTCTTTACTATCAATAACCCTTTGTACAAGATGATCCCAATTCGTTTTGGCCTTGTTCCTTTTTTCTAGAACCTTTTCTTCAGTTGTAGCAAACAATTCTGGTCTTTTCAGCTTTGAAGTTCCGAATGAAATTTTTTCGGCAAACTTAGGTCTAACCAGACAGAGTGTATTGTAAAGCTCTGTAAAGTTATTTTGAAAAGGGGTTCCAGAAAGGATGATTCGTTTAGAAGTTTTAATTTGTTCAAGTGCTTCCCAAATGCGACTGCGTTCGTTCCTGGGTGTGTGGCCCTCATCAAAAATGATTAAACCTGGCTTCTCAAGGAGGATCTTCTTCAACATTGAACCTCTCATATCGTTATCACTGTATGTAGTTGAAAACAAGGTATAACTGACCAATATAACGCTTTCTCCTTTGTACCATGAATACATCTTGACTAAGCGCATCAACGTTGTATCTTGCTTATTTGCTTTTCTTACCAGTTCAAGGGCCATGACATCTTCCTGACCTGAGTACTTTTCAGCATTCAAATCATGGATAGCAAGACTAACCTTCCACTTCTTAAATTCGTTCTTCCATGTCTCCAGCAGTCCACGATGAGCAATAATTACCGGTCTGCACTCTGGAAAGAGCTTCATGTAAGATTGGATGAACATAATTGCTAATCTTGTCTTTCCAGTGCCTGGGGCATGTGAAATAACACAGCCACCAGTATCATCAGAGCCAACGCCTGATTTTAAGTCATCAAGGGAAATGCTTCCTCCGAGGTTTCTCCACATAAATTCGAATGCTTCCCGTTGATGCAGAAACATACTCCCCTGGAGTCCAGGAGTGAGATCCCAGACAGTCCCTGTTGAATAACCATGGGAACCTTGGCAACTACCATCTTTTCCTTCACTGAAAAGATCATTGAAAAATAAGGGGACCTCTTTGTTTTTAACAGTGTTACTCCGAGTTAACCTCTCCCCAAACTGAGAAGATGCCTATAAAATGCAGAAAAATAATGGATTGGTTAGGCAACAAGCACAGCACATATTAAGTCAGTTGTGTAAAGTATAGGAATAAATATGTAATTCATACCCATGATGGAAATATATGTTTGATATCCAATTTCACAAACGAGCAGAATTTGCATCTGATGCCAATTTCCTCATCAAGCACATAATGATGCTTCCCCTTCATGCAGAGAGCAGATGGGTCAGATTCAACTTCGGTAACATTAGTCTCTTGAATATGATCCTGCGCAACATCACAGTGGTCAGAATCCTTCTTTAGTAACAAGTGTACAAGAGAACATACAAAAAAAACCTACAGTATACATGATATCCAAACATGCATGCTCAAGAGGATATGAATTCCATATCATTATGAGATTAAGTATGCATATGCATAAATATAATTCATAAAATACTATGGCATTAACTTAGATAACTAAGAAAATTATATAGGTCTTAACTAAGAAGTTTAAATGCATACATCAACTTCATATCGGATGACCAAATGGAAATGCTAAAATTGGAAAACAAATCCGACCTACAGGTTTCACTGCATCTGACAAAACCAAAACATAACATAGGCAATATCTTTTGATGAACATGTCAGCAACACTTTTTTATGTTCAATACATATGTTTTCTTGCGAAAAGAATTTTTTTAAAGAAACATGGTTTACAGTCATATACATCTGTAACATGATTATATAAACATTTCAACAAACATGAGCATAACAAAAAAGCTCAACTCTACAGTTTAACTACATCAGACTATCTGTTACGTTCCATAGACAAGATACATAAATTAGATTACAATGACTAGCTTTGAAATCTGACACACATGCACTTAATTCTCTGCCCTAGAATAAATTCCTTATGTTGCATTTTTGGACGCCAAAAATGCTGATGCAGGATACAACCAGTACCAGGTAGAAGCAACAAGTAATAATGGACATGGCTAGTAACATATGCTTGATACAAAATTGAAAGCATCATCTTTTCACTAGTTTATGGTGCCAGTCTCCATTCAATCAAAGCTACAACAAACTTGTGTTTTATACTTTGATTGTCACGTACAAATTATCACTTCAACCAGGGGCTTCAATTTTTCTCCAAACAAGACTAGAAGGTTAAAAATATGAACTGTTCTTCAGTTTTAATGTTTTTAACTGAATTTAACTGATATACAAACTTTTCACAAGAATCAAAAGCAGGTCACTTGAATATCATATGTTAATTGAGACAGGTTTACATGTAACTGATTATGAGTCAGTCTCAAATGATTGCACTATACAATGCTAGAGTTTTAGGCACGTGCAGTTGCGAGTGTATAAAACGAATAAGGATTTTAAAAATATACATATGCATTAGTTTTACCAAGATTTACATGAATAACACTATCTTAGCCATATTTCCTGGCTAGATCTTTTGCTTAACTTTGCATCTCTGATTTTGTTAAGATAGAGTTAAGAGAAGCAAAATTCTGACATAAGCTACTCCAATACCTACTTAGATCGCCTCTGTACTTCCTTTTCTCGTCTTTCTCCTCTTTGTCCCTCTCTTGTAGATCATTTTCCTCTTCTGCATCCCTTTATTCCCCTAAACCACTACTCTTGTCTCAACAAATCCTCCCACCATCCCTTTCATCACATATTCAACCATGCCCTGTCCTTCAATCCACCCCCATGTCCTTTTACATGATTGTCTTCTCTTCTCCATTTGCTCTCTTGAGATCTTTTTCTTGTTATTCCAATTGTTTTTTCTTTTTCACTCCTTTAGTCTCTTGAAAGTTACAGGATACATAAATTTGGTGCAGTAATTGTGAATTATTCCATAAATCCTTGTCAATTATATAACTAACTTTTTTAAAATGCTGATGAATGTTATATTCTTCATCCAAGACTTTTCCAACCTACCAACAAAACATCTTGATTGAACGTGTTCAACGCTGAAATTAGGGTTCCTTTACGATTGGACAAAAGGAGGATGGAGAAGACAAGGTTTAATTAGGTTTTGAATTAATCAATATAATTCAATTTAAAAAGTGATTATCAGGTGCCTCCTAGTAGCAAATAGCCAAATAAAGGATAGTTCATCATTTTGACTGCTTAAATAATGCTTATTAATGAGGTTATTAAGATAAATTGTGTACACAATTTAATGACAAATTACTCTCCAGGAGAACTTAATAATTACTGTGAAAGAGACATGAGTCCAGATATGGAAATTGCCTCCTAGTAGCAAATAAACAATAGTTCATCATTTTGACTGCTCAAATAATGCATATTAACGAGGCTATTAAGATAAGTTGAAATAGGAGGATACTACTGATAACATGACACAACAAACAATAGTGTGAAAGGTAAGAAAAATATTTGCCAAAATCCTAATAAATATAAATTATTTAAGCCTTTAATGAGAAGTTGATTTTATGTAAGGCTTCATAAAGTACTCCAAGTGGTGATTATATCACATATGCTTCCTTCGCTTTTATATGATGCCAGAAACTCAAATATGATGCCAGAAACTCAAACTTCGAGTCATTATCACAGAGAATTAAATTCGGCTCATAAAATATATATATATGCGTGTATAACTTACACGTCTGCATGTACACATATTATTACATACAGACAGTACATAGTGTGCCTTTAATTCTACTTTAATGAGTCCATGTACTCTACAGTTTTCACTGCACAGTCATGTACTAGACTACAATCCAGCACTACCATGTTCCCCTCATTTCTTTTCCTCTGAAATTTAAACTGGCCCAGGTCGCATGGTAATAGAGGGTTAGAGAAGCGTCCTGCCAGCTACTTAGATTTAGTGGAAAGTCTATAATCTACGTCATGTACATAGGCATAAACATATACAAGAAGAGAGTGGAATATCTGTTTAAGATTACTTTATGGATTTAATGAAATTAGTTCAAGCCTTATGCGCACTACCTAGGTAGATATATATAATTCATGTATGATACACATATACAAATAAATAAATAAATAAATTGAATGTTGCTGTCCCTTTTTAGAACCATTTAAGAAATAATACGCAGTCCAGGAAATGGATATGAATCTCTTAGGAAAACCAATGAAAATTATCTCAACATAGGAAAAGACTGAAGCACAGAAATACAGGATAACAATTAAGAGGCATGCAGCTTTCCTCACACTCCATCTTGTCTACTTATTGGGCTGGTTTAACATGCATTCAAGGAAGTATCGCTTGGGTGATCTCTTTCAAAAGTATTGTATGCTCACAATGTGGAAAGGAGGAAGGAGAACACCATGCTTCAAAGAACAATTTTTCTCAATCACGCAGATTCGCAGAAATTGTTTTCCTATATAGATTGCTACATTGAAGCCCCTTCTGGAGTCTTAAACTCTGCATTTTGAATTGTTATCTTCTCCGATAAACCTAGTCTTCCACAGGCCCACTGGCTTTTACCGTCATTTCCTATGACTATTTTTTGTAGTTAGGCTTTTTTTATTTGCTGAAATTTCTATATTCCATGTGTTCTCAAAGAAAAGGTATAGAAATATTTAAGAAGAGATCTTTGAGAACCCTACTTTATATATATGGAAAAAAAAAGGAAAAAGATTCGGTTGATTAAATAAAAGTTACAGAAGACATATGAGAAGAATAATTGATGGAAGAAGGATATACAGAAAATTACACATATGCTAACATGTGAGTAAAAAGTAATTTACAGCTAGTATAATTAAAAAGAGATAATAAAGCTGATAATATAGAATGTTCACTAATGAGCACCAAATGATAGATTACCAGGAAACTTAGCAATACATGAATACTCTTTAAATTGTTACAAATCGAAAGGGTTATTGACTGTGTTTAAAATAAACCCATAGCAAGAATGGAGATTCTTCTCTGCTTTTGAAAACTCTCATCTGATAGCTCTCTTAAATTTAGATATTCATTTCTGCTCTGCTGATAGTTTTCCTATACATGGTAAGCAATATAGTAACGGGAAACAATTAACTATCTCTGCCTCCTTAAAAGAAACAATCATCTGTGAAAACCACGCAGGAACAGTTTTTTTCTTTTAAGAACAAAGTATGGTGTCTTGAGAGATCCCCAACGATATGCATACAAGAAAAGGGTGGTTGTACATAGCTAAGTGTAAGTCTCCAACTCGAAAGACGTAGCCAGATAAGTACCAGTTTTACATATACCTTAGCAGGAACAGTAAATTAATGCACCTATCAAAACCAATATCAACTGCATAAGAGTAATATTTGGTCTCTGCGCATCTATTATAATCCATTCATTAGAAATTATTAGACATTTACAAAGCTACGAGGCATCCTTAAAAATACAGTTTCCCTAAAATCGCTAGTGGAGTTAATAAAAGTTCAACACCAAAAGTCTAAAAAGTCATCAATTCGGAGATGAGAACTTATGACAAATTTTGAACTGACTTACAGGTTTCCATACTTGTAGAATCAACTGTGTTTTATGACACAAATCCACTAATTACTCGTAATTAACTATTTGCAAATGCCAAGAAATATAATTAACCTGTGATAAATTAGCTCCTAGCATTATAGAACTCAGAAACTAATAATATAAACACAGAGACCTGTAGACAAGGAAAATACCCTGAAATTAATCCATTCAGAAGCACAAATTATTTCAAATTTGTTAATCAGACATGCCTTCTCAAAAAATTTAAACTATACCTCATCATCATGATAGACACCTATGTTATTTGCTTCCGTAGTAAAGTCAAAATCGGCCCACAAATCATCAAGTTCTTTCTCATGCTCTGACTTATCAACTGGTTTTGCATCGTCATCTCCAAATGAAAATACTAAGGGAAGCAAATTCTCTGGGCAGGCTGCGCTGTTGTCTTCCACGGGAGACTCTCGTTTAAACAAGTCCTCCAGAGTTGTGCCCTCTTCATTGAAAATATTATTTGCAAGAATCTTGAAGAGCTCATTTGCGTTTGGTGGTCGAACACGCTTCCTCTTCTTGGATGTGCTTGCTGGGACTCCATCTGTTTCATTCTTTTCTCTTGCATCCACATTCAATTTGATGCCATTGCTACCCTCCCTACTTCCGCTCTCCATCATATTGCTAACCTGGGTTCCCATCCTGCCACCATCTTCAGTATCACTGTCAACCCACATCCTTTTTCGTTCAACTAAATCCTTGGAAATGTCAGTATCTTGCATTTTCGTTCTGTTTCCATCTCTGACACCATTACTGACTTTGGTATTCATCCCACTACCTCCTTTGTTTATATTACAAACCCACTTCCCTTTTCCTCTATCTAAATCCATCCCAACGCTATCATCTTCCATCTCATCCTCCTCACTCTGTAACTCATCCACTTCCAAACAAACCGGATTTCTCACCGTGCCCATCTTCTTCATTTTCGGATCTGCAACCGAATTAAACCTTGAACGGGTCCTCTGAGAAACTATGTCACTCCTGCTACTACTATTCACACCCTCGCTATCGCCTCCCTCATTGCTGACAGACACTAGAATATCAATACCCAACTTCTTCTTCTTCACGAAGACCTCATTGTCTTCACTACTTCCTCCCAATACACTAACCGATTCTGACTTCTCGGCATAATTGTATGACTCGTCCTTTTGGCTCCCTTCATCCTCAGTGTCCTCTCCATCCTCCGAATCATCCGAGAACTTCTCCATGAAATACTCAGAATACGAAACCCTATTTATCTTCCCATTTTGGGCTCTGGTCCTTCTCGCCACGCAAAAAGGAAGGAGCTTTGCCATTGGTTTCACTTCATTCTCGTCAACCTCCTCCTCCTCCTCCTCATCCTCCTCATCCTCCTCCTCCTCTTCCTTTACTCTAACCCCCTGAGGAATCTCCAAATATTTTGATCTCTCAATCAAACTGCAACAGTTGGAGGTTTCCCCCTCCTCATCGTCACTGGAATCAAGTTCAACTAACCTAGCTGAAGGCTCTGGGCTGCTCCTATACCCGCATTCTTCATCCCATTCCTTTTCCGAAATTTCGATAGAATCTGAACCCGTTTCCTGATCTGAAGCAAATCTGATCGAAGACTCTGACCCGGATGCTGAGCTTGTTCCTGAACTTGAGTCCCCATTGCTCTGTCTATCCTTCTGAAGCTCCGACGGCCATTGGTTCCTCACGTTAACACGATGCCGCACCTCCACATCTCCTCCTCCTCCTCCTTCTTCTTCCGTGTCGTCATCTTCATCATCGCTGTCATCTTCAATGACAAATACGGTCTTTTTCGGCGGCGGA